CTGGCATAAAAATGAGAAGGGTATTGACGGCTTCCTTCCGTCAGAATATGATGGGCAGGGCGCGTGCGCGTTCGCTGCATTGCCGTAGATATATTCCAGCCACGAACAGGTTCGACTCCGAAAAATGCCGAAATCGTCCGTAGTCACCTTTTTGATGCATCATCCCTGCAGCTACATGTGAAAATGTATGTCGCACCGCTTTGCATGTATGTACTCAAATTGTCTGACGGGTCTGATCATGGTGTGCACGACCGTGGCGTCCAGTTTTAGGTTGTTGTTTAATCTTGAGTCCAAGGATTCGGTGACTGCATCTGCAAAGATATCCACCCTGCGCGATTCATTGTCCATATTGAGTTTGAGCTGGGACGTCAAGGCGCACGCAGAGAAACAAAAAATCCTTTATACCCCTTATGGGCATGTGAAAGCACATGCTGGTCAATAACAAGTTTAAGCGTGTAATTGAACCGCTGGTGGCTCAAGGCTGGGGTGTTGATGGTTTCATTGAAGTTGTTGCCCGTATCATCGAGCCTGCGTTTACATGGATCCTCTTAAACGCACTACAGTAGTGGAAAGAGTCTCGCAGGTACCATTCACGATTCCGACGAGTGTCTGCTTTTAGTTCAAGCAAGTTGGAGGATGCGAGTTGTCCACGGCGTTCTTTTAGACAGAGCGTCCAATGCTACAGGTGACCGTGGGTAATTTGAAGGATCCTGTGTGGCGCAAACGGATGCACCAGCAACACCTTTTCCAGGAAGGATGATACCCATGGCTTGCACGACTAGACTGTGCTGACGCGTTTCCATGGATCACAGAACTTGACGAGTGTCGCAATTGCATCGATTACGATGTTGTTCTCGTAACGCAGGACTCGAGACCTTCGGATACACAATGGGGACCTCGATGGTTTTACAGATGGTTGGACCTGTACGGGCAAGGATGACCCAGTAGTATTACACAAGCATGCTCACAATATTCGAAACAATGGCGGTCCTGCCGCGAAAGCGGTGCATTCACATGCGCACCAGTGTGTCCTCGACGAGGCGCGTCATGCATTGGATTATATACAACATGTTGACAAGCATCGGAACAATATCACTAGAGTTTCACTAGAGCCAGTGGTGTTCATTCTCGTCTGGCCTCCTTCCCGGCAATCATGACAACAGATGTTCGTTGGCGGTCTTTTCAAGAGAGCGAGAGCCTTGTGTCGAGACGAAATACATGTACCCAGAGCTTGCATTAGAAAATTCCACTGGCGCCCGAAAACTGGACCGTAGGCCGTCAATATTTTTGCGATCTCCGACAAACACGTTGTTTAGCTTTCTTGCGTGACAAAAATGTGTACTTAGCGCATGGAGTAGAATTGTTGGCGTTTGTTTGCCCACAATATGAATGTTGCCGTTTCTGTTTCCGACCCATGTGGGAGAGACACGGGGAGACGAACAAGCGATGGATGAGAAAGATGTCCAATGCGTATGTCACATTGTGGAGCGGGTTCCGACAGCTTTGCTGTCAATGATGGTCATTCGTCCGTTTGGTTGGCCGATTTCCGTACAAATTTGATGTCTTTCGGTTCGCCGACATGTTGGTCTTACGGGCATTGCGTGCGCAGGTGTTCGGCACGTGTTGTAGCGTCATTGTCCCCCCAAGACGCGCTTGCATTGAAGGGGTTATCGTTTTTGTTGTTAGGAGCGCTTCCGCCTTGGGAACCTTTGAACGCGCACGCCATTGCCATTAGATATCGTTGGCCATGCCTGTTTGAAGTGTTGGACTGTGCCCGCATTAGTCCAGATTGGCTACATATGTTAGAGATGTCTCTTCCCATCGCTACGAATCCCCTCATACGTTCGTCATTCGCGCATGTGTTGGAAATGTCGCTTGTCATTACTAGTCTACGCTAGCCTCTCGTGAGCCCGTCACAGGCATGTTTATTGGACGCTTGTGACCATCACCAGCCCGCACTAGACCGTCACTAACCCGTTGTTCTGGAAGCGTCCACAGACGGCACTAGCCCGCACTTACACATATTAGCCAGCGCGTTGGAAGCGCCAATTCCTGTCAGTGGTCTGCACTGGCCTTTCATGAGCCCGGCACTCGCCCGTCTGTTGGAAATTACGCTTCCGTTCAATAGCCCGCACGAGCCCGTGGTGAGTTACCGCCGCCAGCCCCGACGAACCCCGTTTGCCCCTCTGCGTTTCTCCTGTCGCGGACTCGCACAGCTGAGGACCGGCAGTGGCCACCAGCCCCGACGGGGCACGGGCAGCCCCGTCCCTCTCGTCTGGCGCACGCCTCCGCACTGGCTGCAGTGGTCCAGTCGCAGGGCTCGCAGAACAGCGCCCAGCTCATCACACAGCGTGCAGCGACGACGCGGGCAGGAAGAAGCCAAGATGAATCGAAAATCTCGGGGCAGCGCAGCAGAAGTCATAGCCCTCGTTGTTTCACCAGCGCACGGGCACTCGCTCAGAAACTGCGGGTTTCGTGCTGACGGCTGCGGTGAGTGAGC